TTAAAGAAGTCCAGACGCTTTTCTTTGCAAGCTCCTTTGACTACGATGACCTGGATGACTGAGAACCTTCACAGACCTAAAACATTTAAATACGCTTGGCTTCACACTGACAAAGAGACCCAGCTTTGGCAGAAAACTGAACTAACTAACTAACCAGAGCTCATATGACCCAAAATTGCACTTCTTTATCTCATATTCATTGGGGTTAAATGTGTATTTAAACATCTTTACACCAAAAGAAAGGGCACTTTCACTGGTTTAGCCTACTAGATCAAAGTGAACTGTGCATGGCCCTAAATTGAGTTTGACATCGCTGAAGTAGGTTATACCATGGCTGGAAACTACAGCTGCACCTGATACTACATAAATAAAACTAGCAAAGTATTGTGGGAATTAGTATTTCATTAAACATGGAAGACGTTGTTAACAACTACTGCTGTGCTGCTGAATGTTTGCTAAGTAATCAAAACAAACTTAATACAACTTGTCCCCAAAAATGCAATTTTACTCAGTACAGCTGTTCCCAGACACGGAAAGCGTGAATGAACAGACGTGTCCAACTGATTGAAAAGTGACAAGATATGATGTATGTATGCTGATGTATGTATGCTGATGAAGTTAGAAAGGGTTTAGAACTTGTGATTGATCATTTTTAGTGATTAAATCAACTGAAGGCGTTTTTAGGAAAACCTGATTATAATAAATGACAATAGAAGTAATTTAAACATTAAGTAATAAATGCACAAATAAGCTTTTCAATATAACTCTGAGGCAGGATCTTTCTATTTTCACTATACAAATGTAAGAATAACAGTTTGGGGATGTACAAAGGAAGAAAATTAAACATTATTTAGTGTCAGATCCATGATGCATACACATATTAATGAAGGAACTGTTAATGTCAGTAAACCATATTGTGACATTCGGGCACAAAACTCACCTGATGTAGTGGTATGGTGATCTTCACCACTGTCGACAAGGACAAATGAGTGACTGGCGCAAGTATTTTCTATACAAAAAAATTCGCACTGAAAAGCCTGAGCAGGAATTTTTGTTTACATAGAAAGTTTAAAAAATGTTTTGAGGTCTTTCCAGTGTTTTCAAAACTGTGTTACAGTGAGTTTTTTGGATACACATCAAACACACACACAGAACAACAAAATATGTAAAATTACATACACTTCTCACTCATTTTTTGAGAATTTCACCACTTTTAGTTTTCATGGAAAATAGCTTGTGTTATTCATGACATGACATCATTTAAAATAACTTTCTAAAGCCAGTAAATAGCTGCCACTTAAGTATAAATCTAAATCATACAAATCATTTTATATTATACAAAAAAAAAAGAAAGAAGCAAAAACGGTTGCGCTGATTTTTCATAATAAATGGGTAGGGGTGCAGTAAAAGTCACCAAGGCTCTGCACAGCTCCAAACTTCCTCTGCCAATGACATAAGTTTAAAAAATGTGCGTTGGAGCTTTACGGTATGGATTTCTATAGCCAAGCAACTCAATATGTATGTGGCCAAGAACTTTAGTGCATGTAGGGAATCTTACCACAGTTTACTTGTGTCAGTTAGGTCAGCTAGTGGGATGGCAGAGAGGGCAGCCTTTACATCATGGAAAGAGTCATTTTATTTTTTTTGCCTATGAGTTTCTAATCAAGCATAAATATGACAGACGTCACGCAGTTTCCGTAGTGTAGTGGTTATCACGTTCGCCTAACACGCGAAAGGTCCCCGGTTCGAAACCGGGCGGAAACATGTTTTTTTTTTTTTTAACTTCAAGATGGCAGCGCAAGCTGACGCAGCGCTCTCCACAACTTAGCAGCTTTCTTTTTCTGTGTTATTGTGTAATTACTTACGCTGTTGTGTACTTCACACACATGGAGAAACTGTCATTGTTTTTCTAACAATGACAATAAAGAGCTATTCTATTCTATGTTTACGTGATGTTACATTTTCCCGAGAACCGACTGACTGTGATGACTCCTCCAAGTGCTACATGCTATTTTGTCCTGCTAGTTGAGCCTGCTGTCTGTTCTCAGCCCTCCTCCTGTTTCACTGGCATATATCCATCACCAGAGGGCTCCAC